TTTGGTTTCGGAAACAATTTAGTGGCTTCTCGGTTGCTTCTATCGTATAAGATAGCGATATTTCGCTATGAATTGTAGCCAAATCTGATTGGTTTTCTTCTTCTAGAGTATGAATGTTCTGTCTTGACAGAGCGTCGGCAACATAGTTTTCCTTGCCAGGTTTGTAAAAGAGTTGAGCGTTGTGCTCGTCGATAAACGCTTTCCATCGTTTAATCTTAGCATTTGGGTTTCGGTCTGAAACCGCAAATGTAAGTGGCTGGTGGTCCGTAAAGATATTCAAATTCTTTACACCATAGAGGTAATTTCTAAGGCTTTTTAAAGCCCAAACTATGGCGAGTAGCTCACGTTCGTTAGTTGCAAAGTTTTTTTCACGATCCTTCAGGGTTCTAGAGATCATAGTTATAGGCTTTCCACCCTGAGACAACACGACCCCTATACCCATTGNTTCTAGAGATCATAGTTATAGGCTTTCCACCCTGAGACAACACGGCCCCTATACCCATTGATGAAGCGTCCGTCGTTAGATCGAATGGCTTCTTAAAATCTGGGTAGGGTAGTATAACGTCTTCAGACGCTAAAACCTCTTTTAATTTGTTGAAAGCTTGAAGCTGGTCCTCATCTAAGTCTATTTTTACTTTTTTCGATTGTGTAGACTTCACTTTACCGTTCTCACCTTTAAGGATATCCGTCAAAGGCCTTGCTATTGACGCAAAATCCTTGATAAAACATCTATAATAGCTTGCAAGCCCTAGGAAGGATCTGACATTGAACAAAGTTGAAGGCTTCTCGTAATCGCGGATTGCTTTGCTCTTACTAGGACTCGTCTTGATACCATCCTTAGACACCACAAAGCCTAAGTACTCCACACTTTGTTTAAAGAAGTGCGATTTTTCCCGGGATACCCTCATATTAGCTTCACACAGTTTTCCTAAAACCCACTCAATATGGTCAACGTGTTTTTCCTCGTCTTCGGAAAAAATAATTACGTCGTCGACGTAGACATAACAACACTTCCCTATCTGTTCTCGAAGCACGTCGTCGATGGCCCTCTGAAAAATGCTGGGTGCATTCTTCAATCCGAAAGGGAGTCTACAGAACTCGTACTTTCCATGACCAACCGAAAACGCGGTCTTTTCTCGATCTTGTTCAGCAAGTGCTATTTGGTGAAAGCCTGATTTAAGGTCAAGCGTTGTGAAATACTTGGCCTTTCCCAGATTTGACAATATAACTGTAATATTAGGAATAGGATATTTGTCGTCGATGGTTCTCTGATTTAGCTTTCTAAAATCTATAACCAGACGCTTTTTGGTGTTACCCTGTTCATCCTTACCCTTCTTGTCCACAACCCAGATTGGATTGTTGTATGGTGATCGAGATGGCCTTATTATGCCATTTCTTAATAAGTCACGAATTTCCGCATTCACGAAGTCTGAGACACCCATAGGATATGGGTATAACTTGGAATATACCGGGTCGTCACTTTCGGTGCGAATAGTGGCGACAATGTTCGTATTGTAAGGGAGTGCTTCATTCGGGTCCGAGAATACCCCCATTAAATTTTTTATCATTTTTTGAAATTTGTTTCTCACAACTTGCGGCACTTCTATGTCCTCCACTTGTGTGAAGTTCACGTTACCACACTTCAAGAATTTAAGTTCTTCGGAGCCAGAACTGGTTTTTATTATTTTGTTTTTAAAATCTAACGTAGCATTTGTCTGCGTAAGCAGGTCAAGCCCAACTATTCCGTCGAAAGTTGAAAGCATGGGGAGCAAAAAAAAGGGACTGTTTGTACCAAACAAGTTAACTATACATTTTTCCTTAACATCGTTAAAGCCATGTATTGACTTTACCAAAAACCGATTTTCGACCGGTATTATATTCTTAAGCTCTTTTAGAGGCTTAATATAATTTTTTGATGCCCCTGTATCGATTAATAATTTAATTTTTCTCCCTGCAATTGTCCTTTCGATGAAAGGTAGCAGGGAATTTGCACTAAAAAATTGATTTGATCTGAATCAGACAGTTCATCATCCACTGCTGCAGCCTCCAAATTTGCCACGTCCCGATATTCTTCGCTCTCTTTACCTGAGGATAAATGGTCGATTCTTTGTTGTTTCGGCCCTGTAAATCGAGCGGAGCCATAATTCGGCCTTTTTGCAGCCTGCCTACTTGCTTCATTTTGATTTGTATGAGGCGGTACCCAATTGCGAGACGGAACATTGGGTTGATGCTGCGTGCTTTGCTTATAGCGAAGTGAAGAATCTACCTCCATTGGCTGCACTGGCTCCATTTTTTGTGGAGGCTTATTATTGGTACCTTGACTTCTATTAAAATGGGGGCTTTTTGATGGATAAAAATCCTTGACTGGGGCTCTTCCACCAGTACCCTTTTCCCTATACTGTTGCCTACCTTCAAATCTTTGGGCTTTATCTTCCAAGTTCTTAGCGTAGGTACTAGCAAATAAGTATCGCTCGTGATTTGACTCTACCTCCTGAGCTAACGCTAAAGCAGATGGGAGGTCGCTAGGTCGTGCCGAAAACAGCACATCGCAAAGTGGTTTTTTTGTACCCGAAATGAACACTCGCAAGGCGTCCATCCTATATTTCTCATTGAGGGACGCAGCTATTGTCTTGTCGTATGTCATGATTGTCTTGTTGGTGAGAAGGGTTAATTTCTTCTCAACCTCGTCATAGTACTGCAGGAGTGTCAAACTTCCCTGGCGAAGGGTTGAGAGCTCCTGCTCAATTAGGTAGATGGGTCGTTTGTCACTATAAGTAAAATCAAGGCGACTAACTATAGCCTTGAAATTTAACACCGTATTGAAGGATGCCAACACCATATCTGCTGGCCCCTTCACCTTATTCCTAATTATGGCGACAGCTTGATAATGCTTACTACTACCTTCATGTTTTTCGAAAATCTTATATGCCGTCTGGGCTGCCTGCCGCCAAGAAACATAGCACTCCTGTTTGCCATCGAAGTCTGGTAAGGACTTAACAATGTCAAGGGGTTCGTCACACTGTCTACCGGGCAATACCTCTATTTCTTTATATGCCTCTACCTCAGGCACAGTAATCTTAACATCGTTTATGCGCTGACTAATGGTAGTCAGCCGTTCTTCAAAGTTTTCCCTCTGTACAGCGAGTGCAGAGGAAACAGCACTCTCTATTAGCGCTTTCAGCTGGTTGGCTTCCAAAGACATATTTAAACTTGAATACCAAGCTGCCTGATCATAAACACCACCGATCCTTCTTCTATCGACTACTATACTGTTTAGCCTACCTAACAATTCACCTAATTCACAATCACTCATGAACCTGGCAAATCACTTGCCCACAAAATTTTCAGCAAAAAAAAAAAACGACAGTAAGACTTTCCGTGCAAGGATCAACGACTCACAATTCGTTCTGTATTTGTTTCGACTCTCGTCTATTTTACTCTAACATGTTATTATTATTATTATTTTATCTTCTGTTTGTTTTCTTTCCTTTTACAGAGATTTAGCAAAATACAATTAAAAATTTTCTTTGACTTGTCAATAGATTTTTTGATTTTTCGTACAAATGTAATTAAAAATTCACAATTTTTCTTGTTTTTTTTTTCTTCTTTTTTTCTTAAAACATTACTTTACACATTTTTTATTATTTTTCTCTTTGCACTCTACTTACATTTCTTAAAAATTAATTTTACAGCAAAATCTGGAAAGCCTTGTTGTCCCTTTATCCTGATGTCCTATTTCTGGATAGATCTGGATGTCCTTGGATGTCCTTATGCCACGACAAGTTTACCGTGGCCCCACGTCAGGGCGTCAGTTAGTTTATTCGAGTTTTAAAATTTAACCGTAAGCACTGGCTTTGCCGGTGAGTTCAATCACTAAACTAAAACTTACAAACTACTTGTTCTTAAAATCTAACCTACAGCCGCCACCGTCGCAGTCGCTGCTGGTATCGCTGCTGTGAAGAGTTCCAGGAACGCCGCGCTGTGACTGGCTTGTGATGATGTTGTGGAATTTGCAGATGTTCAATATCAATAGGAATAATATGAAACCACCGTGCAGCTGCATGTTGGTGTTGCATTACAGATTCGTCGTAATTAGCTACTGTTGGCTGGCCGCTATTGAAATTGATTGCCAGCTGCAGAAATAAATTTGCTTACTGCAACTGTTACGACTGCCCTTGGGCTGCACGTGTTAACTTACATACTGTGCATATCAGAGGACGCGGCATTTTGCAAAGATGTAAATACACACACACACAATGCGCAGAAATCTACTGAAGCCAAGGTTATACAAGGTGGTGTTGATGGCGAATTTGGATTTTCGCCGCGGTACTTCTTAATGTCAAAATAATGTGTATGTTGTAAAATGAATTCGCCTTGTTTACAACAAACACATAATTTTGACATTAGGAAGTACCGCGGCGAAAATCTAAATTCGCCATCAACACCACCTTGTATAAATTCGCCTTGAATGAAGCAGTTGAACCATTCTGCTAACTACATAGGCAACATTAATCTGCTGAGCACTAAAGGAATGATTCCTTTTGTTTTGTGTATCGTGTTTTGTTTCGGTTTTGCTCAGGATGAGTACCTTTACCACAATCGAAACCATGCTACGCAAAACCGCTGTGGCTGAGTGGTTAGATATGCGTACAACCACTCCATAGGGCCTGGGTTCTTTCTCTGGTACGCGCAATATCTAAATTAGAAAAGGGTTTTTCTAACAGCAGTCGCCCCTCGGCAGGCAATGGCAAACCTCCTAGTGTATTTCTGCCAAGAAAAAGCTTCTCATAAAGTCCTTTTACAGTTCGGAGGCAGCGTAAAACTGCAGGTCACTCCATTTATGCAGCAACATCAAGACGCACACCACACATTTATTATTATAATTATTTCAACTTGGAGTTCCACAGAAGTTAATTTCATTTCTTATGCTGTTAACGAATCAATCCATTCACCGACGGTAATACAATCATCAAGTCAGGCAAATGGAAATCATTCGTAAGTTATTTAAGTTTCTTTTTTTATTGCAAATTCATGTTTTGTACATATACATACACGCAAATTTTAGCATTCACAACATGCCTTCTACAAACATTACACAGATTTTGTAAATACACAAAGAGGTTCATAAATAGCCATACTTAAGTTATTTATATATTAAATACAGTTGATTAGATATAGATTTTTATTCGGTTTGGTATGATACATTTATGTAGGTTTATTTATTTTCATTATATTGTATACTTTGGATTGTAAGTTAAGGCTTAAGAACTCATTTTTAATATTAAGCACAGCTAACAAGGATAACAACAGATAATAAAAAATAACAAGCCTCAAGTTTCCTCTCTTCTTCACAAAGCGAATACATACGCTTTTTGGGTATGTATTTTGATAAATAGATGTGTGTAAATAAGTAATCCATTTTATAATTGTATAGATCCATTTGAGGTTAATTTTTGTATATAATTAGCAACATCACCAAAAACTTGTTCTTCAAGTTACAACTTTAGTTAAGCTTCAATTTCCGCCTCGGCTTCCTGGACTTTGCGGTTCGGCTGTAAAGAAGAAAATATATTTATAAGTAAGAAATAATTTCATAATCAAGTGTTTAAATAAAGTGAATATGGATAATAATAGAAATTATAATTTTCTTTATTTGTTAATCAGTTTCTTATTGTTTCGGACTTTGGGCTATGTATTTTAAATATGCGGCTAATTGGACCATAAAAACTATTTTTAGAAAATATCTTAACGCTTAAGGATTTTAGGCAAAGCATTTTTACAACGTTTTTATCATTTCGCATTCTTGTTTGCCCGGGCATCAGTCCCACATAATTTGTTTTGATAACTTTTGATTTTAAAATTTTAGCAAAAGTCATTATAAACAATTTTTGAGGTTGAAAATGAAAAACATGGAGCGAATGCAATTCAATTGCATTACATTTAATTGCCAATAAGTCTTTCATTCAATAGAAAAACTACATAACATGCACCTAAAATTTCTACAGCGCAAGTACAAAACGATGTTAAGCGAACGACGTCCATACACAAACATGCAACATACATATTAGAGTGGTTCATAAAAACACTCTTTTTGGAAAACCATAAACGCTACATCAGAATATTGTTATTTGTGATAAAAAAAGAGACTCGTATTTTTTTATTTTGAAAATAAAAAGTTATTTAGAGGTCGCGCTGGTCGGTTTTTTATAAAATCGCTGATGTTCTCAATTTTTTTATTTTCTTGGTATGCTAAAATGCAGCTAAAAATGTGGTTTTTACACATAATTACTCTGGTATTATTGGAGAACATTCCCTTAAATACGTACCTATCTTGGGCAGTTATAATGGGCCTAGTTCCCGAAAATATGCTCTCGAAAAGACCCTAGTAAAATTAAAACGTTGATACTGATCGATCTACGCGTTGTCATGGGTTGGAACTTGTTACCAGGGGATTTCTGGAGTCGCTGATTAGGAATCTGAAGTCAGGCGATCACTTTTTTTTTAAATTGGTTGGATTTGTTCGAAAACCGGCAGTCGAGAGTTTCTGGGGTCGCCGATTACTTATTATTAATTTTATTTTATTTTTATTATTTTTTTCATTTTTTTATCATACATTTTAGTATAAAAATGTCTTCCCCCCGGTAGCACTGAAGTTTACGAGGTCATTTGCGCATCTAATTTGCCTCGTAATTTTTCGAGGGGTCGTAAATAGAGCTCCATACAAATTTTTGACAGTTGTTTTACGAGGTTCGTAAATTTACGAGGTTTACAAGGCTTTTTCCAGTTTAAGGGAACACCCCTTATGTTTATAATGACTTTTGCTAAAATTTAAAATCAGAAGTTAATAATAATAATAATATCCCAACGGTTTTTACCCTCCATTCCCGCCCAACCGCACGAGGGGCGCAGTCCGCATGACGTACGCAACCAATACTTTAAATTTTTGGTGCCGAGTCACGATAGGCAGGAGTTTGTTAAGTGTCGAGATCTAAAACTGTTCAGCTACAGAACTAAATTCATCAGCTGATTTTATGTATTTATGTCAATAATTCACTTATTGAGAGAGGAGAGTATCGCTTTCTTAATGCTGAAAAGCGGATCTGATATATCAAACGTGCTGGAATGAGAGTTAAAATCCTGGCATAAGCAACGGAGTGGGTCGTGCAATTCAAAATTGGTTTTACAAGCTTTCAGAAATATGGGACAAAAGTGTCTTGATACGCGTGAGGGAACATTAAAGCTTACATCAGCCAGAAGAGACGGACTTGAAATTGAGCCTGTCAGTAATTTAACCATAAAAATTATACCAAGCATTTCCCTGCGACTGGCAAGTGTAGGAAGGTTAATAAGTTTTAAGCGACTCGTATAAGGTGGAAGACTATATTGAGAATCCCATCGGAAATTTCTTAAAGCAAAAAGTAGGAATTGTTTTTGAATTGATTCTATCTTGTCTGAGTAAATTTGATACCTTGGATTCCAAACCACCGAGCCGTATTCCAGAATCGGCCTAACTAATGTTGTAAACAGGGTTTTAGTGATATAAGGGTCACTAAATTCTTTTGACCATCGTTTCACAAATGCAAGTACACCTTTAGCCTTGTTGACTGTCACATTAATGTGAAGATTAAAATTAAGCTTAGGATCCATTGTGATACCAAGGTCCACAAAATTGTATACCTGTTCCAGGTTATGGTTACCTATTATATAAGAAACTGGCAGAACAGCTCTTCGCGAGAAGCACATTACTTTACATTTCTTAAGATTTAGAGGCATAAGATTTACTTTACACCAGTAAGCCATGCTGTTTAAGTCTGATTGTAGCAAAGACCTTTCTTCAATTGAAACGTACGATTTATAAAGTTTTACATCATCTGCATACATTAAAATTTTGGAGAATTTTATATCTGTAGAAATATCGTTTATAAAAAGCAAGAACAGAATCGGGCCTAGGTGGCTACCCTGAGGGACTCCTGAAGTAACATCAATGACGTCAGAGATAGTATTTTTAAACAATACCCTTTGTGATCTATCATAGAGGTATGAAGAGATCCAACGTAGAAAATTAGGTGGAAGACCAAGAAGATCAAGTTTATAGATGAGCAACGAGTGGCACACTTTGTCAAATGCTTTACTGAAATCAGTATATATAACATCAACAGTTTTGCTCTCACTAAATGCTTTTGAGATATAGGATGTTAATTCAAGTAAATTTGTAGAAGTTGATTTGCCCTTGCAAAATCCATGTTGACTGTATGAAATGCTTGAAGTGATAGAATGCGTCAACCGATTTGTTATAATTGCTTCAAATAATTTAGGAATTGCAGAAAGCTTAGCTATTCCCCGGTAGTTCTCCACTGAAGATCTGCTACCGCTTTTATGTAACGGGGTTATGAACGATTCCTTCCATATAGTTGGAAAAACGCCCTCTTTAAGAGATAAATTAAATAACGCTGTTAACGGCTCATAGAGATAATCAGAACAATTTATAAGAATACAAGTAGGGATCTGGTCAGGACCATAACTGAAGGACCGCTTTAAGGATTTCAGATAAACTACTACATCATCGGGAGATATTACTGGGATATTTATTGAGTTCATTGGACATAGTTTAAAAGGATAGTCAATGTTAGCATGTGAGTTAATGGAATAATTGGATTTAAAAAACTGAGCGAACATGTTAGAAATTGTTTGATTATCACCAGAGACGGTATTTTGATACTTCATGGCGGAAGGAAACCCACGTACATTTCGCTTGGAGTTTACGAAATCATAAAATGATTTGGGGTTATATATTATACGTCGTTTGATTTTACACAAGTAATCTTTATAACACTTTTTGTTTAATTCAAAGAACTTGTGACGCAAAAGTGAGTATTTTACATAGTATGAGTGTAAGCCGGTTTTTTTGTGTAATCTAAAATAACGTGACTTTCTGTTTTTCAAGTTTCTCAGTTCTTTAGTGAACCATAACTGTGTTTGTTCTACAGGAACACACATGCGTTTAGGCACATACTTTTCAAATAATCTATGTACAGTAAAATTAAAATGTGCAACGCTTTGCTCAACTTTTTCTTTGTATATAGGCCACGACAATTTAGACAATTCTTTATTCAGTTTTTTAAAGTTGGCTTTCGAAAAATCAAAGCGAATATTTGGCTCGTATGTTTGGACATCGCAATTTTGACCATCGTTTATAATTTCGTAAGATATCTCAATAGCAGGGTGGTAGACATCTTCGGGCAAAACTAGTGGGTCACATTTATTTACAGCCGACTTAGATGCATCATCAACATAAACAAGATCTAATACTTTGCCAAACTTATTGCGAAGTACATTAACTTGATTCAGGCAGAGTTCAGCCATCTCCTCTAAAAATACGTTGTTGCACGCGCTAGACGAGAAAGGTACAATATCATTGTCAATGATGTTCCATGATACATTTGGTAAATTAAAGTCACCCAACACAATCAATGAATCAGAGGGTTTAATCATTGAATTAATTGATTTCAGTAAAGATACATGTTGTGAATACACTGATAAGTCAGATCGGGGAGGAATATAGCATAGAGCTAAGTAAGTAAACCCCCTTCCAACCTGAACACGAATGCATTTGAATTCTGCAGATTCAATGTGTGGAAGACTAACTTCTTCAGATGGTATTGAAGAGTCTACGGCAAAGAGTACGCCACCGCCGACTCTGTCCTCCCGATCTTTTCTGTAGATATGATAATTATTTGAAAGAATCTCTGAATTAAAAGTGTGAGGTTTGAGCCAAGTTTCAGTCAAAGAAATTATATTATAATTGCATTCAAGGCCATTAAGATATAAATTCGTTAATTTAGTATTTATGCCTCTTACGTTTTGATAATAAATACTTAAAGCAGATTTAGTAATCAGTTTTTTGGTTCTGTATTCTGACGGGGAATATTTGCTAAATTATTATTTTTGTTGGGCCTATACTCAAATTCACGAACGAAAGCTCCGGAGGGCCAAAAAGAACTACTAAGCAGCATGTCAAAATTTTCTAAATTTACGTCTATTTTAAATGAAGAAATATTTCTTTCATATTTAAAATTAAATTTTCTGATACTTAAGTTGACAGTTTTAACTTTGGACGAGATGTAAAACTTTATATCGTCCTCGGAAGTATCCCTCGAAAATCTAGATACAAATATAGACTTCTTTGGGGGAACCACAACCAGTCTCCTAGTATCAGACTCGATTACCGGCGGACGGGGTTGAGTAACTGAGTTACTAATTGAGGGTAGAGTAAGCGTTGGAAGATTAGATGGCGGTGCCACAACTTCAACGGGGGACGGGGAAGATACTGCAGGGTCGTTATTATTAGAAGCAGACTTTGATATATGTTCTTTTGAGGAAGATAACTCCGTTGTCTGTGGACATGGAGAAGAAAGATTAATTAAGTCATTCGGAAGATTGTTCTGACGTGGAACGGTCCTTTCATTAGGCGGACTATGAAGACGCTTACGTTTTGACACATGAATGTCCTTCATAGATTGTACGGTATCTAAGCATTTAAAAGATTTAAATA